CCTATACCCATTTTCAAACGTTAACTCCACAACACATAACTCCTCGACACTTTTGAATATAAATATATACGTTTTTCATTAGGATCGCCCATTGAAACGCTACACTCCCAACCGACATGTTTTTTTTCTTAAATGATGTAATTTGAGACATCCTGTAAACATTGAGGAATTGCACATTGAAATTTAACAACCTCGTTAAACTGTCATGTTTTTTCTTAAATGATGTATTTTGACGCACCCTGTATACTCCAATTAATGTCCGTTACATAGCCGCCATGTTTTTTCTATAACCATGTATTCTACCACACCTCGTATACATTGACACGCACGCAAAACGATCGAAACGTACGTAAAACGGTTGAAACGTACGCAAAACGGTCGAAATGCACGTACAACGGAAGAGACGTACTCAAAACAACGTATTTGAAATGTCATTGATGAATACTTCGCTCCCCCATTGCCCCCACCTTCGAACGTTAACTCTACAACACGAAACTCCTCGACACTTTTGGGTGCCATTTCCTCCTTCTCCTGATGAGGGGCCGCACGTCGTAGGACTATCATATTTTTTCTTAAATCTGATTCATCATTCATTATTATTATCGCGCTTCCAATATACAATTTTTATCGAGTCGTATTCCTAACCCTTCATTCTCAATTTTAAAACTGGCAACGCTCCAAATGCTACATCGCCCCATTAACAACTACTTATTTTACAACCGACAACACCAAACTTGCTTGCATTGGCGACGTTTCACCTCGACACCATCTTCTTCTCCACCATGTCAGCCAAACATTACTAGACCTTGAATTTCACTAGTTCGGACTTCCATTGTCTATTATATAAAATGATTTGTAATCCCTGAAACAAGTAAAAAGGAATATTTTTTATTATTTTCTTTTTGCATTCCTTTAATTTTTATTTATTCAATTATTATATTTTTACTTGTAGGTTATTTCACTATCATTTCATTTCAAGTTTATTGTTGCTTAATATAATTGTTATTTTCAACTATTCTTTTTAATTATTCTTTTTTACTCGTTTCAGGGATTACAAATCATTTTATATAATAGACAATGGAAGTCCGAACTAGTGAAATTCATCAGGAAACATTGTCAATCACCTTCAAACAAACATTACTAGACCTTTTGATTGTGAATAATCCAGGACAGATTGTATCAATAGATGTTGTGGACTTAGAAGGGATCTCAGATCATATGGCGTTTTCTTATGAAATTAATTAACCGAATTTCTTTACCGAATTCACCGAAATTTGATTATGTGAAACATGTAACATATCGTGATTTCAGAAACTTTGATATCATTCAATGATGATCTTTATTCTGTTCATTGGAATACAATGTATACAATGGACAATGCTGATGATATGCTATTTTTATGGAATACCAATTCGATACATCTCTTCAATATTCATGCTCCTCACCGTACTATACGAGCAACCAAGCCGCCATCTCCCTGGATCACTTACAATATCAAACAGATGCTCAAGCTCAAGAATAAAGCTTTTCAAAGATTTAAGAGACTTAGGATACCCGGCGCTTGGGATTATTATAAATATATCTGTAATTATGTTGGTAATGCAATTCGAGGTGAAAAAGCTGCATGTTTGAATCATGTCTTGAGAAAGTCAAACACTAGGGCTACCTGGAGTACGCTTAGATCGCTCAGTATACTTCGTGATAAAAGTACTCCTGCCATACCTCCAGAAATGAAAAACTTGAACTTGGTAAACGAACATTTTACAAATGCACCCATTGTAAATAAAACAGACTATCAAATTGATTTTTGCGGGAGATATGCTTCACAGATATCTGAAAATGGTTTCTCCTTCAAAACTATTGGTAGTGAAACAGTCAGAAGATATATAAATAAAATCAAAACTAGTGCTGTAGGTTGTGACAAAATTTCTATCCGTATGTTACATCTGGTGATACCTCAATTGCTGCCGCATATTGCATTTATTTTAAATTCCATTATCACAACAAGTCGATTTCCATCTATATGGAAACATGCCAGAGTTACCCCTCTAGCAAAATGTAGCGATCCCACCGAATTATCTGATTTTCGACCCATCAACCTACTTCCTACTATGACGAAAGCACTGGAAATGATAATGAAGGATCAAATTTTCAACTACTCTGTGAAGAAAAATCTCATTTCTGATGTGCAATCGGGGTTTTGCCCACAATTTAGTACAACAACAGCACTGACCCTTATCACTGATGATATTTTCAAGTCATGCGATGGAAAAAAATTCACTTGTCTCATTTTGCTTGATTACAGCAAGGCTTTTGACACAGTAGATTCGTTTATCTTGTGTAAAAAACTTCAGTGTTTTTGGTCTCGGAGTGCAGTATCTCTCTTAGACACATATTTATCAGAACGGAGTCAAAATGTCATACTGGATGGTGAACAATCTATTTCATTGGTCAGAAAATTTGGAGTACCACAAGGTTCAGTGTTGGGACCACTTCTTTTTGCCCTCTACATAAGTGATTTCCATAAATACATACAGACATGCAAAATTTACCACTACGCCGATGATACCCAACTATATACCTCTTTCAGTTTCCATGAAACTAAAGAAGTCGAAAAACTCATTGATAGAAATCTTAAATCGCTATTTGATATATCCTGTGCACACAATTCAAAACTCAATCCAAATAAATCGCAAGTTATGCTTTTCGGACCAAAAAATAGAAGTGTGGTGCGTAAATCTCTATCTATTCACATCGATAATCACGCTATCCCCTTTATAGAGGCAAGTAAAAATTTAGGTTTATGGCTTGACACCGAACTTAGATTTACAAAACATGTCAATTACGTATGTAAGACTTCTTTCCATATTTTGAGGCAGTTATATCCTAACAGACTTGTAATGTCTAAAAACTTGAAACTCAGCCTCTGTGAGTCTCTGATACTCTCAAGACTGGCCTACTGTGATAGCATTTACGGACCAGCTTTACTACAAAATGATGCTCGGCGTCTTCAGAAAATACTAAATAGTTTTATTCGATTTTCGTATGAAATCCGTAAATACGATCACATAAGCTCATCCTTTGAGAATTCAGGTTGGCTGAAACTTAATGCCCTAAGAGAACTGCACCTTCTTACTTTCACTCATAAAATATTGCAAACCGGAACTCCACCCTATCTGCGTGATAAACTCATTTCACTATCTTTCAATAATAACAGTTGCAATCGACACCTCTTGTTTATATCCAATCATAATTCGGCTATTTGTACACGTAGTTTCTCATACATGGCAGCTAAATTGTATAACACCATATCTGTAGATTTCAAACAGTTACCTCTCAAGAACTTTAAAAAAAGACTCAAAGATCTAATGTCAACGAGTCAATAATTTTAACATTATAACACTCTCCTCAGGCTATCAAATAGGTTTCGATTTCCCAGATTTTGTTTTCCATATCGCGAGTGTATCATTTTGTGTTATTTTATGGTTATTTATTATTTATTTACGATACCTAAAACTTTTTTATAGTTTGAAAGGTTAGGTTTAAAAGCAGCTATAATAGCTGAACCTCGCCCATTCATCATACTATGTTTCATCATATCTTTCTATTGTTTATTTTTTTATTATGATGAATAAAGACCTGTTATTATTATTATTATCTCTCTTTGCATCGATTACGTCACACGTGCCTCTCTCACTCTTATACACACACCTTTTTATGAAACATCAATACTTTTCTGAATCTAAGGATATTTCACTATCTTCTACATGGAAATGACGTCACAATTTTCCTAAAATTCTACGGAAATCAAAAAATGCGGTCAAGTAGATATAGAGAATGAATCAATTTCGGTCCTGACAAAACAACCGGTATAAATATCAACAATTCGCAATTACTTTTAATATTTCACGTTGGAGTCGCCGACGACCTGGGTTCAAATCTCAACCGATTGCTTCTTCTAATTTGATTTGACTCAGCTGCCGATGACCACGTGACTGTTGCGCGACAAGTGGGCTCAGGGGTGAAGGCCCGAGGGGTGAGGCGGAATTCCAAGGGGGCCCAACGGGTGTGGCGGAGTCCCAAGGGTGTCCACGCTCTTTGAATCTCCGATACTCATTCCATCCTGCACACATTTCTCTCTTCCACTCTCCGAAACACACCTAACTCGAGTTGGGTGTTTTACAAGGTTCTGCTCGGATGTCATGAAAATTGCAAAAAGTTCAGCGCCAAAAGAAAATATATGATATTTCGCGCTAGGATCAAGCTTGCACATCTACTAACCTATGTATAAGTAAATATTTGTCTTTGCTTATCTAGGGGTCCCCAAGGCTGTCTTATAGATGCTGTCTTCGTAAGTGGAGATGTATATACTTACTTATACTCAGGCTTGTCTTTCAAGGGCAGTTGAGTTCGATAATGTATTCGATGTTCAGTCTAGAACCACTGATGAGAGCTATGGCAAGTCGAAACGGTGCTGTCTGGTGTTAGATCATGAATACTTTGTTTTTTGGCTCTGATATTCACAAAATTGCAAGAATAAAAAAGATGTTTCACCCCTTTTCAACTATTCGAACTTTTCACAAATTTAAATACTATTAACTCAACAATGTATTTTATTCAAATGGCATTTATCATTTACTGACACATCCACAAACAATAAACAAGTTTTGGTTATTTTGACAATTGTGAAAAAATTACTGCCAAGCATTCTTTTATTGTCGTTAGAATCCCATCCATCAGAGCCAATCTGTCAAATGGCATAGCTTTACTCTGGCCTAAACTATGAAAACGGTCATAAATTCGTAGTAGCTATGGAAAGGTGAGGTATTGACACTCAACATGAAACCCAAGCAAATGAATGAGCAATTGCTGCCATTAACTTGATGTGAATAATCTGTTGCTTCATAGAATAATATTTCAGTTTGTTTCAAGAAGGTATGCTTTTACATATAGTTTACAGATATCTACTAATAAATTGGATGATATAGGAATTGAATAACCTTATTAACCTTACGCCACTCATCTTCATCTGGGCTATAATCATAATCTTCCTCTTCTTCTTCACTAACTCGGGACACAGCTTGAAAAAATACATAATCATCAGTTATAAGTTCATAAAAGAGGCAGAAAAACAACTCCCACCCACCCACATTTAGAACAAAATTCATCAGCTCATTAAAATATTTTCGGGTGGCGATTTTTTGACGTGATTAACATACTAAAAGAGGTTCTGAATTAGACCTATATGTCAGAATATTTTGCCGGGCAGACAAACAAACCCCAACCCAGCCTTATATTCATTAAGAACAAAATTCAATAACTCTGTCAAAATATTCATGTATGGGGATTTTTTGGCATGATTAGATACTATGAGAGGTTCTGAATAAGACTTATATCTCAGAATATTTCGCCTGGCAGAAAAACAACCTCCATCCACCTATTCCAACATCCACCTTCCATTCATTTAGAATGAAATCCAATAACTCGTAATATTCCTGAATGGGTATTTTTTTACATAATTCCATACAATGAGTGGTATTGAATAAGACTATATGTCAGAATATTTTGCAGGATACAAAAGTTTTTCCTTCATATATATCTGACTATACTACGAGTATGTTCGACCCACGATCGTATCGTGATTCGGACACACTACCACTTGCACCAATTCAATTATGTTAATGATTATTAGTAGTTTTAGGTTTCGTCATGAAATTTTTTCAAGGACAAAACACAAGCACTACAGGAAAATCCTTAAGGCGCTCTCAGAGCGTTGCCTGTGCGAAAGAAAAACGTTTTCAGGAAGTTCATTCGACATAAACGCAGTTCTCCAGATGAAAGAGTTTTTAAGTAGTGAAGTTCGAGGTGTACTGAGTTGAACCCCACAGCTACAGTCCGTCGCGTATTTCTGATATGTACCGCTCTTGGAGGAATCAAATGTGCCAAGTAATTTGATCAATTTCCGTGAAAGTATCTATATAAGAGAGACAAATTTGGGAAACATAGATTGTGTGGCGACTTTTCAAGTTATTCCACAATTGTCACAATATTCTTCATAAATCCAACATCACTCTAGTAAAATAACATTTACAAATAGCGTTAAATTTCAAGTCAGTAAGTTAAAAGACATGTGTCAAGTGTCAATACTGTCAATATTTAAAATTAAAAATAAAGTACTTGATTAAACTACCTTCTCATGTATGGAAAAAATGTAAAGCGTAGATTTTTTTAAATATCACATAATCAATTATTGCATTCGAGTAAATAACCGGATTAAATCTGATAGATTATGTTAGGTCCAAAATGAGTGGGTCTATTCGACCCTCCACCGCAACCCGCAAGGATTTATTGTGGCTCACACCTCTTCACAATCGACCAAATAAACCCAGCTTCTTAACGAAGCCGATTAGTTTGTATGGTGAGTGGTCTTTCAGGTCAGATGGTAAGAGTACGGATCTGCCGAACAGCGAACAGCAGGGCAGGCACAAAGTATGTGCTCCGCTGTTTCATCATTTTTCAAACAGAGGCGACACATACTGTCTTCCGACAGTCCAAGTCTCTGCATTTTATGATTCAAATGACAGTGACCTGTAAGAAGGCCTGTTAGACATCGTAGTTCATCCCTACTGTAGTCCAACAACTGTTTGGTATCAAACTTCGAAGGGTGAAAAAACGCCTTGAAGTGAGCCAATCCTGGAAGATTCTGTCAGAAGTCCATAAATCTTCTTGCCATCCAGGTGTTCAATCTTTGTTTGGCAAGGGAGTCAGGAGGATGCTGCTTGCAGCACCCTCCTTTGCAAGGGAGTCAGCAGCCTCATTGCCTTCCAGGTCAGTATGGTCAGGAATCCAGACCAGAGACAATCTGTTAAGTCTTCCTATCGAGGAGACGTTTTTGGCAATTTGCTACCAATTTAGACGTTGCTCGGTAGGAGCCAATGATTATTGTATGATCAAAGATTTGAACAAAATGGAATTCAGAAATGAACTGCAAAGAATTGCCAGGCACAACTAGCAAGATCCGGATATTCTGTGTGATGCAGTGGTTAGAGCCTACCAAAACAATACTATAATAAGAAAACTGAAGAATATATTCCGAAAGAACAGCGCCTCTTGGTACAACAGTCACATCCATAAACTTAAAGAAGATAGATTAGTGCACACCTAAAAAGTATGTACCAGAATGCACAGAAAATACTGTCTGCAGATATTAGTTACCGGAAGAGACAATATTATCAAGACAGGCTTTAACAGGTAAAAAACAATCCAAAAAAACCTGGGAAGTATTGAACACCATTGTACACAACAAACCACAAACAAAGAAAACTGTGAAAATACCAAAAATAATCACGAATACTAATAGTATATTAGAAAAACCTCAGGATATTGCCAATGAATTAAACAACTTCTTTACCAACATTGGCCCAACTTTAGCAAAGACAATTCCAAAAACAGATTTTAAGCCTCCAAGAATATCTAAGACAGGGGCGGTGTTTGCTTTAGAACCAACAACCCCGGAAGAAATAATAGGGATTATTCAAAAAATGAAATCTGGTAAAGCTGTAGGAGTTGACCATATATCTGTAGAAATACTCAGGGACTTCGCAGATGAAATCATCAATATTGTAAGCCTTCTAGTGAATCTTACTTTCACAACTGGCTCTGTACCTCAAGCACTAAAAAGAGCAAGAGTCATCCCTATCTACAAAGGAGATGATCCCACAGCTAGCAACAACTATAGACCTATATCCCTGCTATCAGTTATTTCAAAAATATTAGAAACGTGCATGAACAACAGACTTGTCACCTTTCTTAATCACACAAATTTCTGGTATCATGGTCAATATGGTTTTAGAAGAAATAGCAGTACCCAAACTGCAACAACTGATTTAATTACAAACATGATAGATAAATTGGACAAAGGTTTAAATTGTGTGTTTCCATCCCTAGACTTAAGGAAGGCATTCGACACAGTGGATCATAGACTTCTGTTGGAAGTACTACAAATAGCCGGTGCGCATGGTATTCCTCTGATATGGTTCAGCGACTATCTTGTGGGACGTACTCAAAATGTGGTGCTTGATGATGCAGTTAGCCAAACAACTGATATAACTTGTGGAGTTCCTCGGGGGTCCATCCTGGGGCCATCACTGTTCTTGATTTACATAAACTCACTGTCATGTCTCGCCTTGAGCGGCCAACTTCAACTGTATGCAGATGACACCGCAATTGTTTATTCTGGCACAGACAAACTCCAAATAAAACATCAAATAGAGGAAGATCTATCCCACATTGAAAAATGGTTAATTTATCACAAATTAACTCTTAATGCCAACAAGTCAAACTATATGATAATAACAAGGAGCAATCCATGGGATGATATGACAATTGAAATTGGAACAAGTCATCTGACCAGAACAACTTGTATCAAGTATCTTGGCCTTTATATTGATGACAAGCTNTGCTAGCTCTGTATTACTATTTCAGGTAAAATAGATATAAGCAAATGTAGGTGAATATTAAAATCTATATTGTATTGTAGGTATATAATAATGTGACCACGTTCAGGTTGTTCCTGAAAAAATAAAACAAATATACATTTATCTTCAAATCACAAACTTGCTTTTTATTTATTTACACTTTTATACAATACTGGATATATTTTATCTTTCCACAAAGGAAATATAACCTTTAGAAAATCTGATACATATTTTCCATCATACATAATGTTCATTATATCTACTTCCTTATTGGTACTGTAGTTGCAATCAGCTACACAGAACTAGCCTTCTTTATGTCCTGTCAGTAATATTTGAAGTTGCATTTGCACATAAAACTTCTGGGTTGGTTTCTCATTATTTACATAATACTATTTTCACATATCCCATCAGGTGAACCTGCTAGCATGGGATAGTTTTTAGACAGCATTAAACCACATATTTTAATTTTTTTTCCCAGGTTGGAACTAACAGTTTTCCTCACATCATCTTCCAATATTCTACCATGTTTCATGACTGTCGTGTCAGGAATTTTTCCATCCATTATTACTGCCATCAGAGTACCGTCACTGGTTTAAAACCTACTGAATTCATTAGCTCTTGAAGTGGTCACTCTGCCATACCTTAATTGGTACCAAAGCCTGCTTTTATGTTGCTCCCTTGTTTCTTCTTCGACATTGTTGATGTCAGCATCAGACAATATCACTCTTTCCAAAAATGTATCGCAAGATCTTCCGTTATATTTTAGCACTAAATGGTCCATTGATAGACTTTGTTGTCTGTCTAAAACATAATCATTTTGATATTTCATTAATTCACACTTGTTAAGCCTTCTTCTCTTCCCTTCCAGTAAAACTTTTCAAATACTTCAGTATTTGACGGCAAGCTAGGGCTGCCCTTATATAATTCCTTAGCAGTTATGTATTTAAGGGTACTCCCAACCCTGGAAAGCTTGGATTTTTTTCCAATGTATGTACACGACGGTTCCTCACTCCTGCAATGAACCCACATTCGGAATGCCATGGCATGTTTGGAACCTCCTTGTGAAGTCACACAATCATAACATTCTACTGACTTCACTGTTTCTTCCTGCTCGTCGAATACCAAAGACATCCCATACAACTTTCCATGTACTTTATGTTCTGGGCAGATTTTTGCTTTCATTTGCACAAGTTTCCTTCACGTTTGAGCTGGACATAGCATACAGCATCATCACCATAAGATGCCCTGGCAGACCTGAATAAACAAAGCAATGGTAAATACTTAGTTACAGAAAGAAATATTTAACATAAACATAACCTCAAAATGTAACATTGGAGCTTATACTGAAATAGGTACAACGGCTATGCTTTGGACTTATTTTATGATTTAAATAACTAGGTAATGAACTGTTTAATAGAAGGTACTTACATGGAAGTCTTAACATTTCTAAATTCTGCTGAACAAAAGTATTTGTTCGATCCCAGAAACGTTCCTAGCATTATTAAGTCGATCCTCAGTAAATTTGCGCTGGAAGCCTTTAGAAATCCTTGTTCCATGACTCAGTGTATCAAATCGATTTCCACAAAACAAATTAAAGTTACAAACAAAACAAAAACGGCGTATTTGATGAGCATTTTTCCTGAGAATAGTACAGCGAACGTATCACGACAGGAAGCAGTAGTAGTAGGGACAAACAAACTATTCACATGTAAAACAGTGTTATTTACGTAATATTAATTTAATATTTAAACATATAAATCTGATATAAAAAATTAATATCCAATGAATTTGACGGAAGTGCAAACAAGTTACATGCTCGGATGTCATG